TGGGTGACCCAGGTGGCAACGCAACAGCTGTGCCAGATACCTGCTGCTGTTTCTCTGGTTTTGAAATTTAGTTTTAAAAGAAATCCAGGAAATACAAGCACTCCTGTTTTCATAGTGAGGTCAAGTCTTACAGGCTAGGTTTCTGCAGCGAAGGGAGGAAAGACAGGAGTGTTCTAAGGTGGATGTTCTTACCTGGTGCTAAATGCTTCTGCCTTCCTGACTTGGAAGCATGGATTACTTGCTGTCTTACTGCCTCTTTCGTAAGCTCTCTTCAGTGACACACTGGTCATTCAGTAGCATGTTATTTAACTACATGGCATTGCAAGTTTCTATTGGTCTTCCTGTTGGTTGTGTTTTATGATTTTTCATGTAAGGGGATGTGTAGTAACTGTGTAATAGAGACTATCATATCCAGATGTGAAGATACAATGCAGTATACGTCTCTACTTCCAAATCAAAGATGGACTCCCAATGAAATTGTTGAATGTATCTTGGTAATAGGATGGTGGACTCTGTCATCGTCTATACCTACAATGTCAGTACACACTTACATAGCAGAATGATGGACTTGTGACTGCTTATGAAGGACTATATTATTGTAATAATACAGGGAAAATCAGTGAAGTAGAGGGAAGTTGGGAAAGGGGGGAGGAACCCCAGAGCCTATGGAATCGTATCATAAAATAAAAAGTAAAACAATAATTTAAAAAAGTTTGTGGAAAACTAGAATGAAATTAGGAATCCTCCATGATTTTTGGAAGCCCCTTGCTATGGATATTGCCCCATTGCTTAGATATGTTGTTTTATTGCTTCTTGGCCTTTTGGTTAAGATCAAGTGCAAATCTGTTGTTGGCCAGACCTCCTGCACAGCTGTAATTGATGAAATTCTCTGCCACCCTCCCCTGCGTCAGATCCCTGGTTTCCAGATTAGATGTTTTCTTCTTCTGCATTTACATGATTTGGTGGCTTCCTGATAAAATGCACACAACATATACAGTGTTGAAATGTGGCGTGTCTGACTATTTCTATAGTTTATCCTCATTCTTGCTGAAAGTTTGAAGGGATCAGGAATTCTATGTTGCAACCCTGTGGTGGGAACAATACTGTGTATTTGTCACGTTTATTTGAACGTCTTCTTGTATATGTAGGATCTTTTTCTCCTTAGCCTTGTTTGTGGTTATGTCAGGGCCATGAGACTGAGACACGGTCCTTGAAACAGGTGGAAGGAGTGTGCCCAGATCAATGCAGACAGCTCTCCAGGCTCTCTCGCAGTTTTATAGGCCGTATCTCCCCCTCCCCTTCCTTCTTTTCCTCCTCCTCCTTCTTCTTCCTCTTACAAATATTTATGTATTTTTATTGGAAAGATAGATCAATAGAGAGAATGAAAGAGAAAAATCTTTCATCTGCTGGTTCACTCCCCAAATGGCCACAATGATTAGAGCTGAGCTGATCTGAAACCAAGAGCCAAGAACATCTTCCAGGTCTCCCTCATGGGTGCAGGGTCCCAAGGCTTTGGGCCATCCTTGACTGCTTTCCCAGACCACAAGCAGGGAGCTGGGTGGGAAGTGGCGTTACTGGGACGTGAACCGGCGCCCATATAGGATCCCAGCATGTGCAAGGTGAGGACTTTAGTCACTAGGTTCCTGCGCCTGGCCTGGACCATCATTTCTTTATCCGGAAGCAAGGAAGCAGTACGAGAGCATCCCCTAACAAACTCCAATAGACGGGCAGGGGATGGGAGGTGCCGTGATGATGCATTCAAATGTCTCCACATGGGGAATCAATTCACAAGTAGCAGCTTGAGTCTCATTGACCCACAGAGCCTTGGGGATCGAAACTAGTAGACTACAGTGACATTTGATGGACAGTCCATCAAATGAAAACCTATAAATGTGTCCCAGGCCTGTGACTGAGGGCAACCATGTGATTGGAGTTTAGGAAAATTGCTGTTACTTGAAAATGGGTTTTATAAGGCAAGAAGAATGGCAGACACTAAAATGACTCTCCCCTTCAGCTTGGCATTGAAAAATCTTGAATGTCTATAAGGTGTATCCCAGCTACCTGGACACAGCTTGGAAAAAGTCCTTTCTGGTTAATCTATATCCATACATACTTCAGAATAGTAACTGCTAATATTTTTTGGCAGTCTGTGTGCATAGTCCAGGCTCTCAGCCATTACTTTAACTCAAAATATTTAAAAATTTTGCTTACAATTCTTTTCTTTTAAAGATTTATTTTAGTTTTATTCGAAAGGCAGAGTTACAAAGAAACACAGAGAAGGAGAGATCTTCGATTTTCTGATTCACTCTCCAAATAGCTACAATGGCTAGAGCTGAACCAATCTGAAGCTGAGGGCCAGGAAGTTTTTTCTGGGTCTCCCACATGTGTGCAGAGGCCCAAGTACTTGAGCCATTCCCCCGGTACTCATGGCTATATAAAAATTTAACATCTTTAGGGTTATGATTTAATGTTTTGAAGCATTTATATTATGTTTTGATCAACTCAGTGTAATTCATTATATCTCATTTATCATTTTTTAAAGACCAGATGTTGTGTGATTCTTTTTTTTTTTTTTTGCTTTTTAATTTATTAAATTTGAAAGACAAAGAGAGAGGGAGAGATGGAGAAAGAGAATCTTCCAGATGTTGGTTCACTTCCCAAATGGCTGCAAAGGCCAGGAGTGGATCAGGTGAAAGCCAGGAGCCAGGAGCTTCTGCTGCGTTTCCTGAGTATCTGGAGGGGCCTAAATACTTTCCCAGGCACGTCAGCAGGAAGCTGGGTTGGAAGTGGAGCAGCCGGAACTTATTAGCCAGAGTCCATATGAGAAGTTCTCAGCCCATATGAGATGCTGTCCTCTCAGGTGGTAGCTTAGCCTGTTAAGCTAAAACAGCAGTCCATCATTTATTATTTTTTGTTGATGAAATGAAAAATCCTCTCTTACAGCTACTTGAATGATAAGATACAACTATTTTTTTTTAAAGATTTATTTTTATTATTTTTTCATTGGAAAGGCGGATATACAGAGAGGAGAGACAGAGAGGAAGATCTTCCGTCCGATGATTCGCTCCCCAAGTGAGCGCAACGGGCCGATACTATGCCGATCCGAAGCCAGGAGCCTCTTCCGGGTCTCCCACGCGGGTGCAGGTTCCCAAATCTTTGGGCCGTCCTCGACTGCCTTCCCGGGCCACAGGCAGGGAGCTGGAAGGGAAGCGGGGCTGCCGGGATTAAACCGGCGCCCATATGGGATCCCGGGCGTGCAAGGCGAGGACCTTAACCACTGTGCCATCGCGCAGGGCCCTCTCCATTGAGTTTCATTGTTTATTGAACTCGCACCTTAAATGTCTCCGGCTAGGTCACTATTTGCTCTGATATGTAAACTAAGGGCAAAGATGATGTCGGCCTCATTTGCTTTTTCAGAGCACTCAGAAAAACGCCATAGCTGGGTAGTTTTTAAAAATTTATTTGCCTGTTGTTTTGTAAGGCTGGAATATAAACTGTGTCCCGTAGTTATAGGAAAGTATCATTTTGTTGTTGTTATTTTAACTTCTGAACACCAGAAATATAATAAAATGTCTTCATTAGAGGAGCACCAAGTGACTTTACATGCAGTATAAATGTATGTTTAATGGGTATTTTAAAGTAAAGATATTCATATGAATGGACTGCCTATTATGTAAGTCCAGCTGGTATAGAAAACATGAAAAATACTGGAAAGCATAGAGGAGAAATGAAAAGTTACCTTTCACTCTCCTGCTGGAAGATAGCCACTTAGGTCATCTTGGCATTTTTTTCCTTTATGGTTCATTTTAAGAATATAATCTCTAACACTGCACTAATTTTAAAACTCTGCAAGTGTTTTCCTCACAATAGGAGTCCCATTCTTTTAGTTAGTAATCCTGTATCTTTCCAGTGAGAGTATTACTTTTGTCATCTTCAATGTACTCAAGCATGTTATGGAATGCAGAGTCAGCCACTAGATGCTAGTGATTTGCCCCTGTCTCAAAGGAAGCTTGTGGTTACCACAAAGGAAAAATCGAATCCATCTTGCCCCAGTGCCTTTGTTCTGCCCAGAGCCAGGTGAACTACCTCTGACTGTTTTCCCAGGATTATGTCACCCACCAAGGCAACTTTGTGTTTCAGTAGGTGATGTCAAGAAACAAAGCAACACCCTTTCTGTTCATCAGTTTTGGAAAATAGAGACTGGCTTTATAGTCCATGGCTTTGATGTATTTAGTTGTTCCTGTAAGGATTTGCCTCTCTTTTGTTTTGATTGACAAGACCTTTGCTGTATATTTAAGCAATCAGGCAGCTCAGTTGCAGAGGGAAGAGACACAGCAAACTTCTACCTGTCATTGTGGCTTTCTGAAGTTGGGTGTGCAGCAAGATCAGGTAAGCTCTGTTCCATCTTTGGGACTTCGTTGCTCTGGAAGGGAATCCCTTAGAGTCTGAAACGGTGGCAGGCCATGAGCTCAGATTGGGAAATGAGTAATTTTGCACTCCTGTTTGAAGGGCTACTCAGTTAAAACATAGGCAGTGTCCACTCTTGTTTCAACATCCAGGTGTGCTGTGTGTAGTGGGACAAGCAGGATTCTGGCCCCTAGAACACACTATAGGTGGCCATGACCCAGGTAGAATCAGTAGGAATTTAAATTGGATCATGATGACACAATTAATGCATTAATACAGTATCAATTTGTGATAAGTTGGACAGTTTCATGAATGGCCATCATGTCAGGCACCAATTTCGTGATACCTTTTGCCATCCATGTTTTGTGATGGCCTGGGTTAGGGGCAACACGTATAGGGCCTATCATTACTACTGTTCCTCTGCCCTTCTTGTCCTTTTCCCATTAATGATCCTGAAAATAAGACTTTGAACACAGCACGTAACACAGCATCCAAATATCCAAATAGAACTGAGTGAAGTTTGAGAATGACCCACATACTGTTGGCTGCCCTGGATTCATCAGTCTGCTTCCTTCCCTCTCTGGTGGGACAGCATGAAACAGCCATCCCTCGTCCTTGGCTCCATGGTCCTCCTACTTCTGGCTGGCTGTGGCTGTGCCCTCAGCCTCTCCAATAGGAACCTGCGCACCTTCCTGGGCTGTGCTGTGAGGGAGTTTACCTTCCTGGTCAAGAAGCCAGGCTGCAGGGGCCTTCGCATCACCACGGATGCCTGCTGGGGCCGCTGTGAGACCTGGGAGGTAAGTCAGGTGTCAGTGCTGGGGCGGCTCAATTCTTCAACATCCTTCCCCACTCCCCCTTTTTAGATATGTGAATTAGAACTGGGGAAATAGCCTTTTCCATGGTTTACAAACAAAACGATGATATGACAGCTTCCAAAAGTGAGCCGCAAGATTCCCCTTCTAACCAAGCCTTGACGAGATTTAATGATTTCTGTGGTGCTTAAGAATCATCCCTGGAGGTCAATGTGTGTTTCTATTGCACCCATTTAATTCCACATGGAGGGATCTGGGTCAGTGCAAGGCTAGGAGCAAATTCTTGATTGAAGTCTGTAAGAGAACTCTGCTATATTCCCTCCCTTGTGGTAGGAATAGCCAAGAAGGAGGCCCTAAGCTGCATGGAAAGAGTAGGTTCCAGGCCATTCCTCTGTGTCTCACCACCATCTCTGCCTCTCAGGTTGTCTGGAATCCTAAAGGATTCTCTCAGACAGAGCCAATCAGCCTCTGTAGGTTGAGTCTGGCTTGAACCCTTTAGAAGTGTTTCATTGTAAATAGAGACTCAAAAGTCAAGCAATGCCAGAATCCTCCTGGGCTGAGATAAGGAGTTTGTGGGGTGAAGGCCCTGTAGCTAGCTGCTGGCTCTTCTCACCAAGGCCCCATCAGCTCCACTTTCATCACTCTTCTCTCAGAAACTATTCATCACCACTTACATTTGCAAATTGAGTGGCCAGCTGTCCAGGACCACAGCAATGTGGTGGCCACCTGCTTTCCCAGGCATACACACGCTCTTAGCTCTGGCACTGACTGACTGGCTTTTAAATTGTCCTCGCAAGATCTCATCTTGTCTCTTCCCTCCTTTCTCTTCTCATTTTCACCTGCCATTGTGAAGTTTACTCCTTGACACCTGACTCCAGTGCCAACAGCTTCTGCAAACCCTCCTGCCTCTTAGGTCACACCTTGACTGTGTTTTAACTTTTTGGAAGGGGAGAAGTGCACTCTGGCAGGATTCACAACTTTTGTCCAAGTGCCCATGCACAAAGAATTCAACAAATTGGAAGGGATTGAACAGGCAGCTTCTGGCCTAGAAGTTAAGATGCAGGCCTCTCATGTTGGAGTGTGTGTGTTTGATACCTAGCTCCAGCTTTTTACTAAGGCAGACCCAGAGAAGAAGACCTGAACTGAGCTTCCAGTCTCTAGATTTGCTCCCTGGCCTTTGGGGGTGGGGGTTCATTTGCTTGGTCTGTCTGTCTCCACCTCTCAAATAAATGCGTAAAATTGTCTAACTTTCCTTGGAGTTGTGCAGCTGAATGGCAGCCAACTTTGAAACCCATGAGCGACATCCAAGGCAATTGCCATTAGGAGCATCAACTTTACAGGGACTCGGAGAGCAGCCTGTTGTTCTTGTTCTACTTAGTTCAATTTTCCATGAGCTTTGTGAAGCATCGTGTAGACTGTAGTGGGTGATAGTGGGTGATGCTGGGAGAGGGGAGGTCAAGATCAAGATTATCTATTGGCTAAATCTTGATTAAGCAAGCACTCCCCATGTATCCTGGACCTTTCTGGGGGGGTGGTTTGGGATGTGGGAAAGAATGAAATCATATTTGAGCTTGCTATTGGGAGGAGATAAAAAGAAGCAAACCAATGAAAAGCAGGTTAATTTTGCATATTGGCAAATGGTACCAAGAAAAACAAGCAGGAAGGTTCTAATGAGTGCCCTGTTTTCTACTGTGGGGACAGAAGCCCATCCTGGAACCTCCATACATTGAAGCCTACCACCGAGTCTGCACCTACAATGAGACCAAACAGGTGACTGTCAAGCTGCCCAACTGTGTCCCCGGAGTGGATCCCTTCTACACCTACCCGGTGGCTATTCGCTGCGACTGCGGAACCTGCTCCACAGCCACCACGGAGTGTGAGACCTTCTAAGGCGTGGTCTGCAGAGCACAGTTCATGGCCTTGGGCCTTGTGGATCCACCTGCAGTGGCAGTCCACGCTGCTCTACTCCCCGGATTGTGTTCAAGGACTGTTTAGCTTTGCCGATACTAGTGGAGGAACTTAACTGTCTTCTCGAGGCCAAGTCAGGCACCAGGGTCAGTCGGTATGCTTGTCCTAAAAATGTGAGACAATATTTGTGCCTTAAGCAAAGTAATTGCACATTCATGTTTCTTTACCTTCAGTCTCGGAACATGACTTAAGTCTCCCAGTCCTCCTCCAATTTGGGTTTATGTCAATGATTTGCATGCACTGAATATGAATAGGAAATGAGCCTAGAAAGTCTTTCAATTCTCCTCTTCTATTCAGGCGCTGATTTCCATCTGGATTTATGCTTCAAGAACGAGAAACAGAACAAAGCCCATGCACTAGTTCTCTTCACTGCGTAGGAAATCCAACGGCAAGCTTCCTTCGAGAAAGTGTTTCCTTCTAGATAACTAACAGAGCAGTTACCTATGCAAGAAATAGAGCTTGCTTGGCTTGACACAGAATAACTCTGATTTCAAGGTGGTTGGATTTACACAGTTCTTCTCCCAAACAAAATTCCCTAAGTTCCTTTAAGATACTTAATTAACATTCTTTTTGATAAAACATTTTTTATGATAAAACAGGGAAAAATACTTAACTGAAAGCTATCATTTAAAACTAAAACTTGTGAAACGAAACTCATATTTTTAGAGTGTGACAGCTTCCCCAAGCAATGCTAAAAGAGTGACTAATTCAGTGTATTTTAAGTGGGAATTATCATTTATTAAACTGAAGCTTTTCCTGTGTTTGTGGGGGTAACACTGCACTGTCAGTCCAGAGGGGGAAAGTTTGTGAGTGCCTGACCTTTGCGCTCTGTAAAATCTTACCTCAGCTGTTTCTGTGATTTAAGAAAAACCAAAAAATCGATTGTTATGCTAATGACAGCAATTCTGGCACTTGGGGGGTGAGTTTTACCTTGTTCATTTTTCATAATATGCTGAGAAAAATCTATATCAATGTCAATAAAGCATGTCTTTTGAAATCATTAAAACACTATTTTTAGTCTTTTATATACTCGCTCTATCAGTGAGAACACCTACAATGAACAAGGGGAGTTATTTTTACTTAAGCCTTAATTTGGGCTGTCATGTTTAGTAAGGGACACAGATGACTTCAGGTCGCTCTGGCCCCAGTGGTGGTGCATTCTGGGGGCCAGGAGCTCCCTTTGAAGGAGGGATAAATGAAACTGCAGGAGTCAAGTACTGAGATGCTGCTGTGGGCATGTGGGGACAGAGGGTAAGAGCAAGGTCCACCCCAACGCTCGGCGGATCCGCTAGCAGCCAAGGGGAAGAATATGAGCTGACATTCCTGAAACACAATTCTGCTGAGTGTGCTCCAGTGCTGATTACTGGTAAAAAATGGAAACCAGGTTAAGCCACCCTGAGTGACACTGGCATCCCACATTAGAGCAATGACTCTGAGTTGTGGGTGGCTCTACCTCCAAATCAGTTCTCTGCTGATGAGCCTGGTAAAGCAGCAGAAGATGGTCCAAGTACTTGGCCACCCCATGTGCGACAACCAGATGGAATTCTAGGTTCTTGGCTTTGGTCCAAGCACTTGGCCCCAGCCATTGTGATGGTTTGGGGAAACAGCAGCTAGAGGATCTCTAACTTTCTCTCTGTCACCACAGATCTTAATAAAAACAGTAGGAGGACAACATTGGACACATGAGTTAAGCCAGTATTGGGATGCCTGCATCCCGCATCAGAGGTCAGGGTCTAAGTTCTGTTCCTGATTCCAGCTTCTTGCTAAGGCGGACCTGGGACACAGCAGCGATGGCTCAGGTGGCTGGATTCCAGCCAAGCACGTGGAAGACCTACATTTGGTTCCTGGCTTTGGCCCTAGCTGTTGTCTGCCTTTAGGGGAGTGAACCAGCAGGTAAGAGCTGCTGGAGGTAACTTTAGCTGTGCACTTATGACGCTGCTCTGCATACAGTGCCCAGTGCAGGAAGGATTTCTTTTTTCCCTCTTCAAAGAACTAAGACTTGCTTGCATAGGTCACTGGGAAGCTAAGGTAGCCTCAGTGTGAGAGTCAGGTCTAGTCCCAGGGGTTCCACCTCCCCTCACACTCCAGACAGCCCATCCTCTATAGCACCAACAGATCCGGTTCAGCAAAGACAGTAGCCTTTGCTGGGAGGCTGGCAGCACCTGCTGGAAACCACAGCCCAATTACCGCACCTGCATGAGAGCAATTCACAGATTCATTGGGGGAAAAACACAATTACAAAAGAAGTTTATCTTGGGGGCAAAAAAAAAATATGTCAAACTCCACACGTAGTTTTTCACAATGCATGTTTTTTTCCCCCATGAAATGATTGATGACCCTGCAGAATTATGAGAAAACTGCAGAGCCACCATAGAACTCATAGTCAGAGCAGAGCTGTCAGGGCAGAGCATGTTACAACATGCACAGGCACCAAAGCATCCCTGACACGGACCCAAGATCCCGTAAGGAGAAACAAAGTAGATCCCGCTCAAGATCAGTTCTGCAGCAAAAGCCCCAGTTTCCTGTAGTGGCATTTCAAAGCCAAGAACTCTTGCTACTCTTTTGCGAGTGCGTTTGTGCCTTTAACAAGCAATCATGCCATTTAAAAATATTCCACTGAAGATGAATAAATATCATTCGTATAAGTTACTGCTTTTCTAGATTCCTTTTGTGATTTTGGGTCATGGGTCATGCTCTCCTGTATTTCTTGCTACCTTTCCCCTGCTGGCCTTCTGTGTACCAGAGATCTTCAGCAACTTCATGCAAAGCACATATTGAGAAAAAAAAATTTATGCACAGATTTCAAGATCTTTTGTGCCAAAATAAATTTAACTTCTTATTTATTTTCCAATGAACTTGGAAAAATATCCTCAGGTTAGCGGAGAAGGTCAGAGTGCGAGGTCCTCCACTCATGGCTGGTCAAGATCCAGAGAGCCTTGCCCATTGGGATAGCCAGTGGTGGCGTTATTATGACATTGGCCTTGTGGACCCTGGGCTGTGTTCATCTCCAGGCCTTTTCTCCCTAAACCTCTGGGAACCAGGTAGCATTCCCAGGTTTGACCCTAGGAGACTTGTCAGCTTGGGTTTTGGCCTTGTGTTTGATTTTGGCTTCCTCTTCTTTGTCTTCATTTCTTTTCCCTAAGTGCCCGACTTTCTTTGTAAAAGATTCAGTTCTCCTGGCTTGATATTTCCCTTTCTGTTTCCAAAGGCCCTGGGAATGAAAATATTTTGAGTTTCCTTGTCTGTTCTTGGATCAGCCCTTCCAGGACTCTTTGGAGATGAGCTGGGGACCTGTGATTTTCTCTTTGCCTTCTGGCAGTGAAAATACAGGGTTGGTTTTAAAAAATGAACAACAACTGGCTAGATCCTAGGCTCCAGTCAGACTTTCCTCTAAAGCAAAAATTCCCATTGCTAATCTTTCATCACTTTAGTCTCGTGGATGGATTTTCTACGAATGTGATCGAGTACCCCGAGAGACCTGCTTCAAGTCAAATATTTTTTCCCAAAAACATTTCGTAGAGTTCCTAAGTCTCCACACTTATTCCCTAAACAATGGCGTTTTTGCTGACCTCAAATACTGGAGTTAGCTTCCTTTATTTACTGCTAAAATTTAGAAGGCAAAAGCGACTAATCTTTGATTTCCATTTTAATAGTATTTTCTGATGGGGTTTTTGGTGAAAATTGTGTATGACTCTAGCCACATCATTAGTTACTCTGTCGTGGACCAAAATTCTCTCAAAGGTTCTTTGCCTATCACAACTGGATGTAATGCTATTGGAGTATCCAAACTCCACTTCCTATCATTTGTGTGTGACTCAGTTTTTGACTTCTCAGTTTAGCCCTTCCTGGGTTAGGATTGTGGTACTTATTAACATCAGTACTCATTCGTAGGACGTATCTCTTCTTGCCTAACTTTCCTATTGTGAACTTGGCTTTGACTTGGGTCTTAGAGCTTTTATGTTTCCAATGTAGGTACAGGAACCCATTCATTCTAACCACAGAACGAAAATATATCTTTCAAGTTAGCAGTTTGAACAAGCCATCATATTGGGATTACTTCGGTTTCCAGGCTTTTTAGCACACAGATACAATGCTGGTCTCTAGTTCACTACTGTCTTGATGGATTAACTTATACATAGTAGCTTAACTACCTTAAGTTATGTGTCCAAAATGTGGCTGAAATCTACTGGATAAGCATATACAATTTCTAGAATATGTCTATAAAAACTGCAACTTAATGCTATGTGATAATGAATGCATGATGATAGGGGGTTGAAAGGCACTGGCTGGGAAGCAGAAAAGCTGAGGGATATCCCACTTCTGCTCCGGCACACCTTTCTAGGCCCAAGTTTGTCATCTGTACCGTGGGGAACTGGGCTATTGCTTCTGAGACTGTTTCTAGCTCTGGGAAGTTAAGGTTCTTCTCTCTGAGATGAGTTGCTGTGTCTTGACTTTGGAAGATGGAGTGACCCATGAAGGCATCTTTCTTCAGATCTTGAGGTCTCTTTCTGTATCTTTGCTCTCAGTTTTAGTTAATCTTATGGTAGAATGCACTGTTTTAGTGAACTGAACTAGACATTGCCACGGGATAGGGAGTATGTGATGGCTTTGACAGAATGGCACCGAGTCACGTAGAATTGCTTTATTCTGCATTGTTTTAAGGACTCTTGGAGCTGTGTTCTACTCAGATGCTAACAATCTCCGTCATGTTCTGCTTCTAAGTCAGCGAGGGATTTCCCCACCGAGAACAAGTTAATCCCCGATGACCTGTGGCACTGTTTGCCTGTGGAGTGCACACATCTGGAAAATTCTCCTTGGCAGAACAAACATATTGCTTGCAAGCTTTCATCCAATTCAATGAGGAGTGAGGAGTGGCCCCTTAACAAGATGTAACTACCCAATAATGTAACACATCCAGCTAACAGCACTTCCTTTATTACAGGGCTAAATGCTCATTATTGTTTGTAAAGGATGAAATCATAACCTTAGTAGAGTTAGAGTTCAGACACACTGATTCCCATTGGCAAAGGCAGAGGGTCGTTGTTCCCTTTAAATGTCAAGCTTTGGCTTACAGAACTCCCGTTTTCTTTAGCGTGTGTGTGTGTGTGTGACGAATGGGAAACCGTGCTTGAAATGTGGAGGATGGGAAAACACATTTCAGAAGATCTCACCCAAAAACTCCTAAAGCTGAGGGGGCATTCTAGAAGGCCTTAATGGGGAGGACCCTCACTGTATCATTCCTTTTCATGTGCTTCTTCTAGGAGCAGCCAGGATGAGTCATATTGTCCTTCTGCCCCTCTAGCGGAGGGGGCTTCTTGAATTTGGAAAGACTTTAATTAGAATTGCTGTGATTTCATACTGCAAAACACACACTTAGCTTATGCTTTTACAGAAAAGATCAAGCAGTTATCCAGGTACACTTGTAAGCAAAGAGAGTAACTGTGGCCTCTAATATAAGGATAGGAAGTAACTCATTCTATGATACAAGAATTCCCGGGTGTTTGGAGTTATCATAAAGAAAGGGCACATGGTTCCTTACTGAGAAGTTTCATTTCTTTAAGTCCAAAGTCCCTGCTTTCTATAGTAGCACAGTATTCTGGAAATGGATCCAGGGCTTGGCACAAATCTAGACCCGAAACAGACATTTGGGGGAGATGAATAAGGAAAGAGGCAGGGACAATATTTGTACACATTTCCAGTTGTAACTGGAAGATGACATTTGGTGGGATGGGCGATTATACAAGGCAAGGTAAGGGCAGGCAGGAAGTTGAGGCACTTTGCTTGACTTTTGGATTTCTTGGTTTTGACTCTTGCCTTTTTTAATGTCCATTGGTGAGATCCTGCTTTTAGGTCAGGAGGACAAAGCATGGGTGAAAGTATACAATTGAGGGAGAAGAAGGGCCTGCCAAGGGGAAGGGAAGCAGCAGGAACAACTATTGAACAAAGAATATTTTAAAAGATGAGTCCTGCCCTCTTCTCCCACAAACAATTTTGAGGAAATGCAGAAATACTACTTTCTTAAACATTATCCATTTTGCTTGTCCGTTTGTTGGTTTGTTTGCCAGTGTTGTATAATATTGACAAAACCCAGACCACTACCTACCAACTTACGCACTTCAAGAGTGAATCTTTGGCAAAACAAAACTGGGCCTGAAACAGCTCAGATGGTGTTTTTTTCTTGCCCCAACCATACTCACAGGTCATGGCTCTGTACGTTTCCGACAGTTTTAACATTTTCTCATGCCTCCTCATAGACTGGCATTCAGCAGTACTTGCTGGTTCTGACAGCTTTGGTAGAAAACACAATGAAAATGTGAGTGAATAGAAAATGCTCTCTCCAGGCTCATTTGGTATGGATTGTAAGGCCTGAGAAAACTGGAAATCAGGACATTTCTTGGGATACTATAAGTGAATATAACACACATGGGTAGAACAGCAGATTTAGAAAAAAGAGGTTAGTATGGATGGGATTCCCATATTTTGCAAAAGGCATAAAATAAAGCCACCGCTGTAGGATCTGAGTCTGGTTCTCTTGGGACGATTTCCTTCTGGTTAGCTCCAGGTTCATGCGAGGGAGAGATGTGAAAGGCAAGGCGGCATTTGAGCTTAGCTTCCAACGCGCTCCAAGAGTGCGTGGTCGGAAACCCAGATCAGCATTCGCAGAGTGCGCGCAGTGGACGCTGCAGGCTGCCCAGCAGGTTAGCAGCCGTGGTGCTGGCTGGCAGGGCACCGCCCAGGAGGATACCCGGGGCGGGGGACAGGCGTCTGTACGAGGGGTCTCCTCTGTGGTCGTGCCCTCCTTTTTGGCTGCTTGTGCCTGGTTCCGCAGACTGGCTGCCTCACTCCCCGACAGCTGGGATGGAGGCCGTCTTCAGCCAGGTCAAGCGATGGAGCAGCAGCCGCGGCACTCCAAGCAGCGTTTCTGCTTTTTCTTGGGATGGAAGATGGTGAGGATGGCTTCGTCGAAAACTGCTTTAAGACCTTTCTGGGTCAGGGCCGAGCATTCCAGGTAGCACTGGGCTCCAATCTTAAAGACAGAAGAGAAAAAAGCATCAGAGGGAGGCAAGCGGTGGTGCCCAGAAAACCCTCCTCTGTCTTAGGAACAGCTCAGGGGCTGATTTCAATTGGGTTTTTTGTTCTGCAGTTCAGCTTGTGTCTGCTAATCTAACTTTGTTGGTTTTTAGAAAACGTTTTACATTTTGATCTTAGAAATGAATGGTTAAGGGGTTCGTTCTGTGGCATAGTGAGTTATGTCATTGCTTGTAGTGGATTCTGCTCCATTTTACATCAGCTCCCTGCAATGCAAGCTGGGAAAGCAACAATAAAATACTTGGCCCCTGTACCAATGTGGGAGATCTGGAAGAAGCTCCTGTCTCCTAGCTTTGGCTTGGTCCAGCTTGCTGCTGGCTTAGCCCCTGCTGTTGCAACCATTTGGGGAGTGACCCAGTGAATGGAAGGACTTCCTTCCCCATCGTATCATCTGTATCTCTCTCTGCCTTTCAAATAAATAGAATAAATCTTAAATAAGAGAGAAATTAGTGGCTGAAGATCATTTTTGTTAAGCAACACACTCTGAAAGTGACCTACAAACATTTGTGTCTAATATAAGAATGTAAAAAAATAAATATAGAACACCAGGAAAGGATTCAAACTAATGATATGGTTGAAATGCATTTTCTGAACAACAGAGCTGTCTAAAGTTGTTTTTAGCATTCTCTCCTTTGCATGTGGAATGTGAAAGTCAAGTACAGGTAACATGTATCTCTTTCTGTATGTGGGAGGGCCCAACGCCATCTTGGTTGGCCAGGTCCATAGAGTAGGTGGAGTGGTTTTATTGGTCATTCCCGACTAAAAAGTACCTCTTATAGGATATCTGATTGGTATTGCTATTCAGTGTTAGCATGCTGCTAAAGGCACATCTTTTCTCAAAAAAAGATTAATTTTTTAAATTGCAAAGACAGATTTACAGAGAGAAGGAGAGAGGGGCTGAAAGATCTTCCATTCTCTGGTTTACTACCCATATGACTGCAACAGTTGGAGCTGAGCTGATCTGAAACCAGGAGCCAGGAGTTTCTTTTCCAAGTGGGTCTCCTACATGGGTGCAGGGTCCTAAGGCTTTGGTCAATTCTCAGATGTTTTCTTAGGCCATAAAAAGGGAGCTGGATGGAAAGTGGAGCAGCCAGAACACCAACCCGCACCTCTATGGGATGCCAGCGCTTGCAGTTGAGCCATTGCGCCAGTTCCAAGGCATATCTTAAAGAAATTAAACAAACTATAATGTATAAAAATAAGAATGACATTATACATTTAGTAACCCAGACATCTTCTTTGGCAGTGTGTGTTCTGCATATGTGAGTGAGAAAATATTTTGTACTTCCTTTGGATGGGATTTCAAGGCTTTGGGTGAGTGCATTCTGTGGAATATTTGAGAATCGCAACACCTCCGTGAGAAATACACAAATTGAGGTCAAAACTATAGATCCTCACTAAAAAGAAAACCTCAGACTATGTAGACCATGTGAACTTGCTGTGAAGGAGATCTGGGGATTTAATTGCTTACAAGCTCAGCCTGAACCAACTATAGGATGTGGGTCTTTTTATTTTTTATAACAAAGGCACCTGGAGCAATACTTCTTTTTGTCTTACATTCTAAGCATGCCTTTGAAAAACAAGGCCTTTTCAGGGGATGCTGGCTGTGAGCTTTTGGAAACTGCAGCAGAGGCCTAAAACCAGGCAGCAGAACTGCATGCCTGGCATGGCCAGTAGCTTATGCAAACGTGGAAGCAGGGGCAGCGTGACACTACAGGTGGAGCTGGCAGGAGGCTGTCCAGTACATGCCCCATGTGGGAAGGTTGATCCTCTGTTGTCCATTTTTTTTTGCATTTATCAAGTGGAGCATGCCATTGGCTATTCCTACCAATAGTTTCCAAACATCCGGCAGGTCAAGCAAAGCACTCTAGGGAAATCTTTTGCTGCACAACTCATTTGCAGTGTGTGTACTAAAGGAAGTAGTTTGTCAGTTTATAATCAAGAGGGAACAGACTGCGACAGGTAAAATGTAGCAAGGCATTAAACAGCAGGTGAAAAGAAATAGGCTTGGGGTCTGGGTCTCTTGAGGTGTGCTCACTTCCTTGTTTTCTGGCAGTGTCTATGAGCCTTATCGCTCAACTCTGCAGCAGCTGGTCAAATGGACAGTGAAATGAGATTACCAAGCTATTTGAAAGGCCACAGACACAAAAACCAAGCTTTAGATAAAGCTGCGTCCTGAAACAATTCTCCAACTTTTCTAACATCTACCATGCTCCCTTTTGGTTTCCGAGAATGGCGACTGTAGAAACCGAGGGAAAATGCCAAGGGCGTGGATTGAAACCATTGGTGGATGTTGAAAATGTGCTTTATGGCTTTTGTTTAGAGCATGGTTTAGCCTTTAGATTAGAAAATAATGAAAAAAAATTAAAGACAGATACAGCAGAGGAACAAAAGGCAGAAGATGTTCCTAATAATGTCAAAGTGCGTTGCCTTTTGGGATTGTGCCCGATGTTTGTTACAAACACATGGGAAATAGTGAACTCATGCAGGGCAGGAATTCAGCCTAGCAGTTTACATCCCGGTTGGGACATCCACGGCCCAAGATGGAGGACTTGGATTCAAGTCCCAGTTCTGCTCCTGATTCCAGATTCCTACTAATGCAAACCAATGGGTAGCAGTGGTACTGGCTCGAATAGCTGGGTCTCTGCCACCCAGATGGGAGATCTGGGTTGAGTTCCTGGCTCCCAGCTTTGACCTGGCCCAGCCCTAGCTACTGCAGGTATTTTGGGAGTGATCCAACAGACAGGAGCTCTCCATCTTTGTCCCTTTGCCTCTAAAATGCACGATTTCAAAATCTCATTAATCCATTGAGTATGTCAACTCAATAATCTTGAGTTAGTTCCAGGAATTCCTGGAGAGCTCGGCTGAACTCAGCGCCCACTGAGGGTCTGGAAAGCTGGTTGGGATCTGCTTTGGTGCTACCCCCCAACAAGTCAGAGTTCACCTTATAATGATGCAGAAGTTGCCCAAACTTGTCTTTTTCTGTTCTGACAGTTCAGAAGATAATGGAATCACAGACAAAGGCATTCTTGCGCAACTGGGTTAACATAACCTCATGCTGCACTGATAGTTCCAGGAAAAGTGGCCAACAGATTTGGGGTGTGATTTGGGAAATACGTGTGAGAAATAAGTCTGTTAGGAGGTGAGTATTATTACCGGAACGGGAGTGCTGTTTGGGTCCGAGTGAAGAATTTATCTTGGTTTGAGGAAAAGACACAGCCCATGTTAGAGGGATTGCTAAGAGAAATAATTCCGTGAGCCCTCAAAGAAGTGCCTTGCTTTTCTTACTCAGGAATTTTCTGTGCATCTTGGAGCAGAAAGTGTACAGTGCATCTGTGGGACCTCAGAGTTTGGGGGCCCTTGTTAGATCTTCTGCCCGCTGTGTGTACATGACTTATTTTCGAGATAAAAGGAGATAATGCTTTTGTACACAGAGAGAATGCTATTCTGAAAAATTTTCTGATTGCAAAAGCTCGATTGACTCAAAACCTGGGGAATTTATCAGAGAATTACAGAAAATGCGAGCTTGACAAGAAGAAACGAACAAATGCATCAACCCCCAGTAGCTAATCAACTGGAAGAAAAACTTAGTACTTCTTCCAGATTGTCAAGGGGTCAGACAGACACTGAAAGGAATAATGGCAGACAGGGGTCCCCAGACGATCAGAGGTCTCGGGGGCAAGCCTGTGTGGCAGCAGCTCTCGCTTGCTGGGTTACACCACGTACTGTGCTGATTCACTGTGTCATCTCAAGGGCGTCACCAGGTGGATGGGTGCTGTGGTGCAGTGAGTTAAGCTTTAGCTTGGGACACTGACGTCTCAGATCGGAGTGCCAGTTTGAGTCTCTGCTGCTTTGCCTCTGATCCATCTCTCTGCTAATGTGCCTGGGAAAGCAGTGGAAGACTGTCCCAGTGCTTGCGCCTTTGCCACCCGTGTGGGAGACCTGGGTGGTGTTCCGGACTCCTGGTTTGGACTGGTCTGGTTCTACTGGTTGTAACCTTTTGCGGAGTGGCAGATGGAGCGTCTTTTTTCTCTCCATTGATCTGCCTCTGAGGCCCAGAGAGGCGAAGTAACCTTGCTGCAGCTGCACAGCTAAGTAAACAGCAAAGATTAGAATCTGACACTGTGCGGGGCTATCTCATACAGTGTAAAGATATGTGTGGATGAACAAGACCACGCACAGGGGGGCGGGAGAGAGAGTGTGCGCTTACAGCAGCATGAGAGAAGCAAAAGCAAAAGAACGCATTTCCTTGCCAAAGAAGAGAGAGAGGAGAGAAAAGCTGAGTGGGGCCAACAGAATAAATTGGGCTCTAAAGGAGCAGAGGGAGCACTCTTTGTTCCTTCTTTGAGAACTGGAAGGGTTCATACCAACACGGCAAAGGCAGAGAGAGAGCCAAGGAAAGGAAAAAGAACCGAAGAATGTGTGAGTGAATCTGTATTGCTCTAAACTAGCGAGATGAGGATGAACACTCCCCGGCCAGCCAGGCCTGCTGCTGCCGGCTTTTCCAAGACTGCAAAGCTGGAGGTTGCCAACTCAGGGTAGATAATGCCCAGGCATTGCGTTAGTGTGGGCTGCACGGAATGGTGGGGAGTGTGGCTGACTGGAAGGCGTGCAGCTCTTGGATCAGGGGGTATAAGACTATAAACATTGCTGAGGAAATGCTGCTTTAGAGCGGCCACATCTGATTTTGTTCCTTAAAAAATCAAAACCATGCCCTGTTTATGGAAGTTTCCAGAACCTCAAATGTTTGAGTTCATTCGCTTTAAAAAAAAAATGCTGGCACAGACTGATGGAGGCCTTGGCACATGACATTGGGCCCTTGAGTTTGCTTGTCTTCTTGTGCTTTGAAGGGCACCTTGCCATGTATTTATCTTCCTATCTGGGATTTTTTTTTTTACCCTGGCTCCATAACTTTGTCCATCTGTGTGTTTATTTATATTTCTTTTATTTATTTATTTGGGAGAGAAAAAGAAAGGAAGAGAGAGGGAGAGAGAGAGAGAGAGATCTTCAGTTAATGATTTATTCGCCAACTGGCTACCACAGCCAGGGTTGAGCTGGGCCAGCCCAAAATCAAGAGCCCGGAACTCCATCTGGGTCGCCCTACGTGGGTGGCAGCAGTCCAGATAATTGGGCCGTCATGCTGCCTCTGAGGCTGAGCACCAGCAGGAAGCTGGGCTCAGGAGGGGAGTAGGGGCCCCACGGATTTAAGTGTTGGAAAGAATATGAGGAGACTTAACAACTAAAGTGAAAAGAAAAAAGAAGTTTGAGGATAATTTATTTTGGTGTAAATTAGTTTTGAAACTTACATGTATGAAGAGGTCTTCAAAAATCCAGGACAAATACGCATTAAGAAAAAAAAATCGCATGGATTTCAAAACAATGTTTGCACTTCGGGAAACTTATTTTTTTCAAAATTCCATTCTCTACAAACTTTTTATGCCCTCCTTGTTTGCATGCTATCATATGCGTCTTTAGTATATAAGAAAGAAGAAGGACCCCCACCCCCCGGGCCTGTTTTCAGATGACAGGAAGGAAGTGGAAGAAAGCATGGACAGTGAGCCGGGTTTCCGGGGAGTTCTGCACCTTCCTGCTGTATGAACTGGACTTCTCCAAGCCTGGCTTGCCCCAGGGAAGTAGAGGTGATGAGATACAGACCTCAGGGGCTGTTGGTAGGATGATCTGGTGCCCAGCCCAGCACCTTAGAAACACCCTGTAAATGCCCTTTCTATGAACCGCTTGGCAGAAGGGCCAAAGAGAAGACACACACACAGCATCTCTGTAATTACACGAATCCTGATGAAACTCGTTGCAATCTTGCTTGGCTTTCTTTTAAATTGGATTTTGTAAGCTTGACGTGATTCTCTCTGTAGCTGAGAACTGTTGCTAGGAGAGACGGGCAAAAGGCGGGGTGCAAGCTCAGCCATTGTTCCTGACATAAGCCTGCCGGGGACAGAGGGGAGGCTTCTCTTCCGAGGGGAAGGAGCAAGTTCCCCAGTGAGAGGGGAGGCTGGCTGCCAGCAGCGCCAGGGGGACACCTGCCCACGTGGAGAGGGGCTGGGCCAGCAGGGACCTCCTGGTTGCCTATGCCCTGAAATGACGCATAGGTGTGAATTACACAAAGCTGTGAATTACACGTGCTTGTTTACAAAGCTTCGTGAGCATCCACTCCATGACAGCACCTGAGGCTGTGCATAGTGTGTTTTATTCATTTCTGTATCTATTTATTTGAGGAACAGGGGAGTGAGATAGAGAGGACAAAACAGATCACTCACAGCCATTGGCTAGCTCCCCAAGGAGCAACAACGATTGGATCTGGGCTGAAGTCATGGGTTGTAAACTCAGCCTGGGTCACCTATGTGGGTGGCAGGGACTCACGTACTTGAGCCTGCTGTCTCCCCAGATGTGCATCAGCGGCACGCTGGCACAGGGAGCAGAGCCTGCTCTTGAACCCTGGCACTCCAAAGGGGGATGCAGGTGCCCCAATCAAGGTTTTCACCATTTATGTATTTATTTGAAAGTTACAGAGAAAGACAGGGACACACACATACACAGCAAGAGAGCTCTTCCTTCCGCTGGCTCACTCCCCAAATGGCTGCAATGCCCAGAGCTGAGGCAGCCCTAAGCCAGGAGCCAGGAGCTTCATCTGGGTCTCCCACACAGGTGACAGGAGGCCAAACGTTGGGGCCATCCTTCATGCCCCAGCTAATGGTAACTCCTGACTCCCTGTGTAATTTTTCCAGATGCCAGTGTCTATGTGGCCATTCCTTGTCTGGTGAGAAATAGTGGACCAACACAACCCTGCCAGATCTCTCCCAGGAAAACCCACAAAATGTCTCTGCCTCATTTCCATGAGTTACTCAAATAATTTACATAAGATTTACAAACACATGTCTGAACCATTCCTCTCATCAACCCTAGACCTGGCCATTGGATGTTCCAGGGGTTGCTACATCAGTTAAGCACTTCAGCTGCACGCATTCACCAAGGTTTCTTCTTAATGGAAAACAGACAGTGTTGGCTGGTCAGGATGCCAACCAAATAGCTCCTCCAGCTGGCCTGGGACCTAGAGGAGGGCACCCATGGGCAGTAAGAGGATGCTAAATGCATTGAGGCACACCCAACATTGAGACTCGCAAAGCAGAAGCTAAAGTTGTCTGCCAGCGGCTGTTCAAAGTTCACGGTAAAAGTGACGGTTACCGCTCTGGCCAGCTTCACGCCGTGCTCATAGGTGAGAGGTTTCTCCTTCATGTACAGCAAACGCGCCAAGGTTTTTGGATCATCACGGAGATCGATCTGGAAGCAAACACACACATGCGGTCAGCTCGTTTAGCTGCCATCGTCAGGCATTGGAAACGGAGCCGTCATCAGACTGTTGGCTCCCGCTGCTGGATGTTTTCAAAGCTGGTGGATTTTGTTGAAGAAAGCGCATGCTCACGCCCAGCCGTAAAACCAAGGCGCCTTACGTGGGTGCCCGCACGCACCAGACTCTGTACTTGAGCCTTCACAGCGGTTCCTCCTGGGGCTGCACTGCTGTCCCAGATGTTGCTGAAATGTCCTATGTGATTCTAGATTCTCCTTAAGACAGGCTTGTGAGCTAACCAGCCGGTATGACCGCGCTGCAGTGCCGTGCCTCCTTGGATCCCAAATTATATTGTTTAATAATGCATATCCTGAATCTGACCACTTTTTTCCCCCAAAGTAAATCTTCACCTGAAATGGGGAGACATTTGCTACCTCTGAGGATATTCCAATAAGCCTTCAGCAAGGCAAGTCCCAAAGAAGAATTTCCAAAGTGTTTGCTCAGAAACACACATTGATTTTTTTTTTTCTTACAAGAACTCTTCTGGAGCTAGAATGGGTATCTGAATTATGTTTGCTACTTTCCTTAAGCCTTTTGCTTGCTTGAAAACCTCGCTGTAGGGACCAGTAGCTGATACAGTAGGTTAAAGCCTTGCCTTTGGTGCCTGCATCACAGGTGGACACCGAATCTAGTCCTGGCTGCTCCACGTCCCATACAGCTCCGTAGTTAGTGACCTGGGAAAGCACTGGAAGATGACCCAAGCCCCTGGACTCCTGCAGCCCCGTGGGAGGCTCAGAGGAAACCCCTGGCTCCTGGCTTTGGACTGGCCCATTTCTGGCTCTAAAGGTCATTGGAGAGTGATCTGCAATGTGGAAGATCTCTCTGTGACTCTCCTTCTCTTTATTTTTTCTTTCAAAATCAAAAAAAAGTATCTGTTAAAAATATTTGTCAAGTAGAATGCAAAATGGAAAATAAAAGCAGTGTAATCAACAGGTAGCCATATGCTCTTTTGGCTTTATTTTCTTATTTTCCTGGAATAGTAATTTAGAGTTTTAAAATACCAAAGAACAAAATCCATGTAAAAGCAAAAAAAAAAAAAAAAAAAAAGATCTGGAACAATCTTTGCTGCTCTTTTGAAACTGGCTTACTATCAGCAGTTAGAGCTCTGGAACTTGGCGAGTTTTCATAATTATGTTAAAAGCTTTCATAATTGCAGTTTGTTTATCTGGCATATCTGATTTAACTTCTATTCTAAGATGTGGAAGGAACTTAGAGGGAATAGAGAAAAAGAAAAATTTCCCCTTCTTTCCCTAGATGTGTTGGCAAAGAGATCTTGTAAGCCAGTTGGGGTCACCATTGTAAGCTGGGGTCACTTTGACACACCCATCTTGTGATCCTAAAACAAACATGGTAACAAAAAAGTATTAAATAAGACATACAATGACACTTTCACATCATTACTCTAATTCAAGGCTGGAGAAAGAGGTCTATTCTGGGGAAAAAAAAAGTGTTTTTTTTTTTTGATGAAACCAGAGAGAAACTTCCTGCTGGTATTTAACAGCTCCAGTTAGCATCTCAACCATGAGCCAAGTCAGCACGCACACGGGGAGAGCGTCTGGGCACAGGATCCTGGGGGAGCCCCGTGCGTTGTGTCCACAGAGGACTGGAACATCCCTGAGGGGTGTGTGTGAGTGTTGCATGAGTGTGTGTGTGTGCGCACGCGTGTACGTGCAGGGTCTCTCCTCTGTTGCAGCCCCTCCCAGCCGCCCCAGCTCGTGTTGGTACCTGGGTCCCGATGAGGACGTAAGGCACGTGTGGCATGCAGTCTTTCAGCTCCGGGACCCACTCCTCCTGGACGTTGTGGTAAGACGCGGGGTTGACGACAGAGAAGCAGATCAGAAACACGTCCGTGTTGGGGTAGGAGAGCGGCCTCAGCTGGTTGTAGTCCTCCTGTGGGGAGAGCAGACAGGTGGGGGTGCAGCTTGGTGAGTGGGGGGCCTCACGTGCTCCAGAGAGCCGAGAGGTGCACGGGGCAGCAGGGCTGGGGATCCTGGCCCTTCCCTGGCCAGAAGCCTGGTGGCGCTAGACGTGAGGAAATCATGAAACTTTCTGTTGTGCCCCGAGATTAAGTACTGTCCTCTTTTTCTGAGACATGTTGTAAAGTTCAGCCGTTTATTTTACCTGAGAATTTAAAATTGAAAGCATACAACATGTTTTCAAATACATGTAAAGACTACAGCCACGCAAATGAACCTACGTGTCTCCTCATATAGTTATTTTTCTTTTCTTTCTTCTTCTTTTTTGAATAGCGAGAGTTTCTGAAATTTACTCCTAGGAAATTTCTGTGACATGACAATTTTATTCATTGTAACCTCTGGGTTGTACAAAGGAGCTCTAGATTTATTCCTTAAATGTAATTGCAACTTTATACTGCTGACAAATACCTTCCCACATCTGGAAACGACTATATATGTGTGTGTGTGTGTGTGTGTGTGTGTGTGTGTGTGTATGAACATTCGCCCATTTAAAGTGTGTGATTTGAACCTGACGTTGGGCGTGGTGTGTTAAGCATCGTCTTGCGATACTGGTGTCCCACATTAGTTTGAGACTTGGCTGCTTCACTTCCTACCCAGCTCCCTAATAATATGTCCCCAGAAGCAGTAAAAATAACCCAAGAATTAGGCCCTTTGCCACCCGTGTAGGAGACCAGGATCAGTTTCCAGCCCTTGGCTTCTGCCTGGCGCACAGCTGGCTCTGGTGGGCATCTGGGCAGTGAGTCAGTGCTTGAAAGATTTCCCTCTCCCCCTGTCTGTCCCCCACCTCCCGTCCACGCTACCCTGTCATCCTAGGAAATAAATAAGTAAATTACACAATTTGGTAAGGATTTGAGTAATAATCAAAAAAGAATTTATTTCTCCTTTCAACACCAGAGTTGTGTAGTATCGATCATGGGCTTTAAATTACTAAGCCCTTGACCAAGGCACAGAATTTCCTAATCTGCTTAAAAATTACATCCCAATTTATTTTAGAATTACCTAAAAATGCAAAACCAAATATCTGTTGCCAAGTTGAATACTACAATGTTTGAAGGAATCTGTTGGGTGAGGGCTTAGAGCTGTGCATTTGGGGTTTGTTTTGAAAGTTTACCAACAGGTCATAGTGCGTCCAAGTAAAATGCTGCATTAATGGTTTTCTTCCCCAAGCTCTTTGAGGTAAGGCTGCGCCCTGGCAGAGGACTCCTGCGTTCCATGTGGCGTCATGGACCCTGTGTTTCAGCCGGAGAGGAGGCACACACACATTCAGATACCGCACCACCTCCGCTTTGGGAAAGTGTTAGCAAATGCTTTTTTTTTTTGCTGCGTGTGAAATGTTTTAGGGTTTCCAGGGTAAAATCTGAGCTCTCAAGAGAAAGTTTTAGGTATTTTCATACAAGTTAGTCAATCACACAAGAGCCCAGAGTTACTTTGTATGTGTTAGATTACACACATGTCACATATAGCAGCGTGACGATGAATCCAAATACCCTGGGGACGTGTGTGCCCTCTGTGCGGCCAAGCCTGCGTGCTCACACCTAATCCGTGCATTGTGTTCACAGATAGGCTCAGATTCAATCATGCAGTAACTCATCTTAGCATTCCAGAAGACTATAAAACATGAATGTGCTTGTTGCAAAAATGCAAACGTCACAGCAGGAGGTGGGATAGGAGGGAAAATTTGTTTTCATCTCCAAAGTGACTTTTGGTAGTTTTTCCTCGCTCCTCAGAGAGCCACTGCCCACCATTGTCCTTCCAAACATGTCAGGGTTACTTACACATGCAGTATATACCAGCTTAGTGTAAATCCTAAAAGTATTATTTGGATGTGCACACACATACGCATGTGACTGGAAGGGACTTGGAGTATTGTATAAGGTAGCTGTGCTTACATGGAACCTTCATGAAGCTCCCCAAGCACCTGGAACTCAAGGCTCAGTTGGCATAGATGCTCTAGTTATCCAAGGTTTTAGGTGTCTAAAAAAAAAATGCATCGCAAGAGAGTAAGAACCCATGAGGAAGCAGGTGCAGTCAGCAGGCCAGCCTGGCCAGACCCGGGTTTCTCTGCAGCTCAGTCCCTCAAAGAATGTGTGCACGCAGGCAGCCATGGCGTCTGTCACTGAGGAACCACGGAAGTTCAGGGGCCACCCTGCCAAGGGGGTGGGGAACACCCGTGCACACCCCCAAACCCCTCACTCCCCAGCACAGCAGGCCGCACAGCTCTTCCTGGGCTCTGATTCCTGAACTGCCTGCTTCCCCCAACGACTGAACACGCCAAACCACGCAGGCAGGCAACAGTGCAGCTGGACTCCATGAACCACAACCTAGGGACCCCGGGGGAGGACTCCAGCCTTCCTCTTTGCTCTTGGCTGACCAATGGGGCCAGCTGCAGCCCAACATCTGGCATCCAGCCCCTCTGGAAAGTCGGCCCAAAACCTCAGAACAAATATTTCCTTCAATGAGAAGCTCCAGCTTTCTTGCCCATTCACATCTTAATGTGCATGTGTGGTTTTTAAAGACTTACTTTGAGAGGCAGAATGACAGAGTCAGAGAGAGAGAGAGGAAAAGAGATCTTCCATTTGTTGATTTATTCCCGAACTGAGTGGGTGGAGCCAGGAACTTCATCATCCTGGTTTCCCAACTAGGGGGCATTCTGTATTTCAACACGGGATGTTGCCCCCCACCACCAGGTAGATCACTGGTTCACTCCTCGTGGTCTCCTGGCATCTTGTAGGCGACCATGCCACCTAGGGGTGAAGCATCCAGACCTTGACTTCTCACATGCTACAGCTGGCTGGGCTGGGGTGAGGGGGCGGAAAAGGCAGAGGACTGTAGGCTAACCTGTGTTTCTGACGCTGGGGCTGCCTCAGAACCACCTGGAGGCCTTGTGTGGGCCAGGTGGTGCACACCTTCCCCTGCCCCCGCCATTCCCAGATGAATTAGTCTAGAAAATTCTGTTATTATGTCTCATTTACCTCATTTATATACATAAATGGGTGCTTATCTCCATAAACACTGGTCCAGATGGGAGGCTGAACCAGGCCTGCTGATCGCCTCACCACCTCTGTGCCTGTGTATGAGGGTGGGAGGGCAATAGTTCTTGACAAAGCCTCTATACACTGACACTTAAGGAAAAACATTCTAGCGATTTTTCATATCACTGTTTGTGGAAGCCCAGAATTTTAAGTGACAGATTAAACATTTTTTTCTGGAAACCCAGTTATTCAGTTATTCAGGGATGTAATAAAGAGGCAGCCGTTCCCCAGCCCCTGAAGTCATGTCAGACCTTGGGATGTGCCATGTGTTTGATGGTTGGCAACTGCTGGAAATGACCACCAGATGGCAGCAGATACTGTGTATTTACGCTTGAATGGTCAAAAACCTAAAGAAAACTCAAGTTGGAGAAATGTTACAACTCCAGGAGCAAATAACCGGTGACATGGAGGGATCAGGTGTGTTTGATTCATGTGGCTGGCAGAGGAATTTTTCTTCTCTTATAAGAGAGTTAGGAAGATCGTGCGTTGCGGGGTGGGCAAGTGAGGTCAGTTGTATTTCCGATCCTTTATCGTCTTAGTAGGGCAGCTTCGCCACCTTCTGCGTCCGTCATGAGGCCTGAAAGATTCTCCCTTGCTCTTTGCTAATCTTGGTGACGGGGTGATGCAGAATGCACTGACAAAGTTCCCCTGCAAGCCTGGAGGAGGCCCCGCAGGTCAGCTGATGCGGTGTTTCCTGCAGTGTGCTTCTTGGATGTAGACAGCTGGTGTGACCCAGTGGGGCCGGGGGCCGGGAGCAAGGTCTGCACCACCCGACCCTCACAAGGCCTCCAGGCGGTTCTGAGGCAGGCTACCCTGCACTCCTCTCCCTTCCCCACTCCCACGCCGTCTCAGCCGTTGCAGCGTGTGGGAGAAGCCATGGTCTGGACCGATGATGACATGATTTACACCAGTGCTACAGAGCAAGCCCTTCTAGGCTGGAGGGGGCTCGTCACTGGCTGTAGCTGTGAAATGAGGCAGGGCTTCCGGATGAAGAAAACAGAGGGTCTGGGGGATCTGAGAGCCCTCCCAGGACTGAGTGTTGGCACCCAGTAGCTTCTGTCTTAGGTGCTGCGATCGCCCTTAAGATGCCAGGGTCCCTGATGTAGCTGGCAGGGTGGCCCTTCTGGTAGGGAATGGGAGACTGGCGCTCACCTGCCTTGGGCAGACAAGCTTTTCATCAAGGAGAGCATTGTGAGTGCAGAGGGCTTACACTTGCAAAGAGATCAGGATTGGGGTGCGCGAGGGAAGGAATTTGGGGGCAAGGGAAGCTTTGAGGTGTTTTCTGCCCACCCTCAGTCAAAAGGGTTTGGGGCCAGCATTGTAACATAACAGTTTAAGTTGCCACACACAATGTTGTTGTTCCATGTCAGGGTGCCAGTTTGAGTCCCCACTCTTTCATTTCCAATTCTGCTCCCTGTTGATGTGCCTGGGAAAGCAGCAGAGAACGGTCCAGGTGTTTGCGCTGTTACCTCCTACATGGGAAACCAGGATGATGAAGTTCCTAACCAGGCTCTGCCCGTCCACCTGGGGAGAGAATCAGCAATTGGAGGAAGGCCTCTCTCCCTCCCTGCCACCCTCCTCCATCTCTGTCACTCTGCCTCTCAAAGTAAGTCTTTAAAAACCACACATGCACATTAAGATGTGAATGGGCAAGAAAGCTGGAGCTTCTCATTGAAGGAAATATTTGTTCTGAGGTTTTGGGCCGACTTTCCAGAGGGGCTGGATGCCAGATGTTGGGCTGCAGCTGGCCCCATTGGTCAGCCAAGAGCAAAGAGGAAGGCTGGAGTCCTCCCCCGGGGTCCCTAGGTTGTGGTTCATGGAGCCCAGCTGCACTGTTGCCTGCCTGCGTGGTTTGGCGTGTTCAGTCGTTGGGGGAAGCAGG